AGAGTGTGTGAGGAGTCCACTTTCCAGCTTGTGAGCAAGACAGATTAAAATTGTGTGCCAAAACAGGCATTCCTATACACACTCCCCAGAGTAATTCCTGCCTCTGAAACTGTTGCATTCATTTCCAGGCAAGTCAATGACAATTACAGATGCTTGTACAAAGAAAGCATCTGGACCTGAGATAAAATAAGCAACACAGAAAATGAGTTATTTAATGGATATCTTGGTCCCATGAGTTCTTCCTGCCTTTCCACAAATAACAGGATCATGTTATTTAATGGTGCGCAAGACAAAAAGGAGTGGAGCAGAAGTGATAATCATGTTCTCAATTTTTGGGCAGAGCTTCTAATTAATTTCTGCTTAAAATCCAATGGGATGACATGGCCATAACAGAAGCAACATCTTTTTGTAGGAAGAAAAATACTTAACTGGGCCTATTGACTAAAGTAGAAAATAAAGCAGTTTGGAGTTGGACAGACTCTCTCTTTGGCACTGAAGTTACTTGCAACAGAGGACTGCAGAGCAAAACAACTCTTGCCCTTGCACAGAATACAGGCTGCATGTATAATACATTCCTTCTGAAGAAATCTGCCCCAATACATAGATGCAACACTGGACATTTTTTACAGCACGCACACATACAAGTATTTTGCTAAACGCTGCATTCACAAGACGTGCTTTCCCCATTCCTCAATGTACAGTGTAATCAAAAGATTGCAGGGCCTCTGAGATGCTATTTCCTTACGCTTTACATTTTATGCACTTTTGTAAATGGTTATGGAGGTGCAAATCAGGGAAGAAATAACAGGCTTTGTAAGGGTTTCAAGAGGTGGTGTTTCTCTGCCCTGGGTGATGCCCTTGTGCAAATGAAGCTCTAGATCAGCGTTTCCAAACTTTTCTTCAGCATGACCCCATTTATGGCCCCATTTCCTCGGCATGACCCCTCACTCCCAACTCACAGTCCCCTACCCCTGCGATCCCATCTGCTGATGTTGTGATCCCATTTGGAGTCATGACTCACAGTTTGGGAACCATGGCTCTAGATACTAGATCATACCATCAGCAAACAGGCATCTCCCCACCTGTGAACAGTGAATGCTTGACTGAATGTGCACTCAGAAGATACCGATCTCTGCTGTGCAAATATAGGCAAAATAATGTTCCTCTCCTGTACCCTTTTCTCTAATGTAGGCCTGGAAAACAGTTTGGCATATGGAAACAGGAAAGCCCATTTCTTTTTATGTTAAGTCATTGGGAACATAGGAACAGTCAGATTAGATCAGACTTGTGTCCTGTCTCTAGCAGGGATCGGCATCAGCCACTTCAGTAGAAGGTTGTAAGACTCTGCAGTCACAGAAAAGAGCAAATCTACTGCCACGTGGGGTTCATCCTGATCTCTAACATTAGAGAAAGACTGTAGTGCAGAAGTTTAAACATAAGGCTTAAAACACCTTCCAAAATGGTGGTTATCAATATAAGCCTGGATGCTTTTCATACACATGTCCAGTCCACTTAAGAATCTTCCTGTGTTCTTGGCTGAAATAACTTCTTGTGGCACTGATTCCTGCAGTATATTTATATAATCTAAGTGCACTTCACACCTCATGACCTGCTAGGTAAAATCTCCTGGAAGTCGGCATGAACCAGAAGTGACTGCTAATTAGTGCAGGGCCTCTATTATCAAAGACAGAAACAGTCATGTAGGGTTAGTTTAAATTCATATTTGCCACCAGTGCTTTATGATAAACCAAACTGTATAAAAAGTTTTTTCTTAAAAACAAACATATCTTACTACATAAAATAGTACTGGGAAAGCAAGCCAATTTGTGCAAAAAAAGCGCCTTTGGAAATGCATGGAGCCTTGCCTTTGTGCTGCATGATAACAGTGAAATGTATTCGTTCCCTAATACTGGTTATCTGTTCTCTGGTCCTACAGTAAGAAATCCTGCAGACGGCTTACAATGCTTGCCTCTTACATCTTGAACCTCCTGTTGATGAAGAACAGAGTGAAATACTATTAAGGTTTATTTCGGAGGAAAAGGTCTTCATTATCAATTATACTCAAATAAGGGTTGTGAATAATCTGTGTCAAGACTGTAAACCAAAGGCAATTCTTTTGCAAACCCTCCAACCACTATTTGCAAAACTGTTCCATGATGTCCTCCAAAAGGAGCTGTTGGGACCCTGGAGGGGGAGTTCAGCAACAGTGGTTATTTTGGTAGTTGATGTCAATCACAGTTAGTAAGGTGTTCAGAGATAATGCAGGCTAAGCAGCTAGTACTGGTGGGCAGGGAGATGCAGTGAAGAAAAAATGGGGAAAGGAAAGAAAAGATGGGATAAAATCCAATTTTAACTGTGTAGCTGGCACCAGGATCCCTCAGAAGCCCTCTTGGCCCACTCAGTGAGCACTAGCCTCAAACAGTCACCTGACCGCGACAGTTTTGCTAAACATTAATCAAAATTTTCCCTGCAAAAAGACACAAGATCTTAGGCCCAATATTCCACTCTCCTCAGAACTGAAAATCCCAGGTCCATACATGCATCAAAGCGGGACAGTAAAATTTTCACCTCTGTATCTTGATCATAAAATGGAAACTGGATCATGAAAAACACAGTTCTCTTCCAGTTTTAGCTTATTTCGGCCTAATCTACTAGTTCCAACAAAACAAGTGACATTTTCTTAATAGGCCAACTGTTAGCCAATGTAAATATCTACATTGCCACACCCACCAGTGTTTTTGCCATTGAAATTATCAATGGAAAAATCCAGAGATGTGGCTTGTTACTTAACTCTGCCACCTTTTATCACATGGACAAAACATGAAGCATATGACTGAGGCCAGAAGTTGCTGAATCTTTATCCTGGCTTTAACTATGGCTCCTTGTGAGGTTCACTTGTCCATTCTTGTGCCTCAGTATCCCCATCTAGAAAACAGGGGGCTAGTACCCAACTTCAAAAGGATATTATGCAAATGAAGCAGTTAATAGCTGGAAGGTACTCTGTAAATACAAAGCATGATGCTATTATTTGCCTCTTTGCAGTATTTTAAGTGCAATACAAACTCTACAGAGCACTTAAAAAGCTTTATATTTTTTTAAGAACAAAGATGAAATGAGCTATTTCATGTCACTGTACACAGTGCAAATTACGAAATCCCAGTCATGTGAATGTTCCCTGGGGTTTTACATAGGATTGCTGTTATTTCACTGACAAATGGCCCGTATTTTTAGGATGTGCCACTGCAGAAAGTTGGCTCTCCATTTAACAGTGTGGAATCCCCAGACCCTCTTGCCAATTAAGATAAAACACAGCATGCTCTGCACTTTCTTACCGCTAACAGGGTGGGTCTACATGAGATGTTTACTGCACAATTGACTAATTAACTATGCAGTAAATGTCTCAGCATCTACACATGCGCCCCTATTAGGGCTCAGGAAACTAATAAACTCTGGAGCAAAGTAGTACTTGTAAATACAAGTACTACCCTGCTGCAGTGTTTTTTCATGCGCAGCAGCGCATGTGTAAATGTTGACCCGGCTGGCTGGGGCACAAGGGTGCTTCAGTGTTGGGGTTGCCTGCCGACACCCTTGTGCCCCAGCCAGCCCCTCCGCAGCAAACTAAGTCTGATTGCAGCAGCCTTGGGCTGGCAGGCTGAGCCCCTGGACCCCCTGCCAGCCAGGGCTGCTCTGACCCAGCTCAATGTGCTACAATCTGGGCATACATGTAAATAGCACGCTCAGAGCTTCCCAGGATCAATAAACTGCAGAGCAATAAGCTCTTCTGTTTATTGCTTCACATTAATGGCATATGTAGATGTGCCCACAGTGTGATGAGGAACTCCCAGACAAATTGTCTTTGTGACTTTTAGCTGAGTTTTTCTCACCTTTTTTTTCATGAAGACAATGAATTGCTTTAATTATTAATCAGAACAAATACAACAAGAGCTCTTTAAGCATATGTCAAGTAGTCTCCCTGGGTCATGAGTGCTCTAATATTAGATCTGCAGGGCCACAGTTTATCCTTGATGTAATGGCACTTAATACCATTATTCCAGTTTTATACTGGTGTAAATGAAATCAGAACACAATTCCTTGACTATCTACCTATAGCGCGTACCAGTCCTGAGTACCTCACTGTAGTTAATGCATTTATCCTCAAAAGTCCTTCTGAACTAGGAAAGTGTCCTTAGCCCTATTTTACTGGTGGGAAACTGATGCACAGGGACTTGCCCAAGATCAAATAGGAAGTCAGTGACAGGTTAGAGCATCAGCCATAGGTCTCCCTAATCATAGATTAATGTCCTAATCACTAAACCATCTTTGCTTCCTGGAGCGTAAACACACTTGCATGGGTCTAATCGGGCATGTTACTGCTGCTGTTTATTTTTATAAGGGTCAAGATACTGACCAAATTAAGGAGTTTTTAAGAGCATTTCAAATAGATTCAGTAGGGAACCAAGGCAAGGAGGTAAGTCATTTGATTTTGTATTCACTGCTCCTATTGAAGTGAAAAGGAGTTATGGGTCCTTCAGTGGAAATTCTGAGCACTCTGCACCTTGAAAAAATGGGGCTCATGTGACACAAATACAGGAAGGGCTCAGTGGAACATGGGGGGATATTCACCGCAGTGGATTGTACACGGTTATTATTTACAGATGAGGACAATCAGAAAGAAAAAGTTGCCACTAATTGATTTAAAGGATTAAAAATAACATAACAATCCTTTGCTTCTATTACAACTGACCATTCAAAGACAAATTTCCTTTCCCTTCCAGCAGTCTACTCAGGGTGAGGCCTTTTCTGGGTTTTTTTTTTTTAAATGATCTTTGCCAAATTCATCAACTTTCTTGCCTGTGCCAAGACTGACAGCTGAGTTTAATGAGTTCCAACATCTCAGGCTTAAATAAGCTTTGGATTTTGGTCTACACTAACTTGACAATGGACAAATGAGGAACAGGCTCTGATCTTTATTTATTCTTACATCTGCCCCTTTCTGGAAGGCTTAATTTTGTAAATCTTTACTGGACTAAGGAGGAGAGTGAAGGATTGTCAGGACTGATCCTGTAAGTTATTACTAGGACTATTTGAAAGTGAAATATAATTTAACAGCTTCATGAAAGGAATAAATTGCTCCATGTCTATAACAGTGGTTGTGGATTGAATGATGACGTCTGCAATGGTTATGTCACAATTTTTTAAAGAAAGTTAGGGGATCTCAACTCCCACTTCCCAATTGTTTTAATATATTTTACTGATTTCACCTAACTGTGGGCACATCTACACAAAATGCTTACTGCACATTAGCCTAATAACACCGCACAGTAGCATGTCACAGCAAAAACCACACCAATAGCCTACTGAGAAGTGTTATTAGGCTAACACGCAGTAAGCACCATTAAATAATCATGCACCGGCACTACTGCACAGTAACACTAGGTACTGTGCATTTAGTTAGTACTTTATTAAAGAAGTACTAAGCTATATCTGTAGCATCTAAGGCGTATTAATGAACGTGTAGAAGTGCTCTGTCTGCGTTCCATGAGGGTACAATGAACATAAAGCCACAATAAAGGTAAGCAGAATGAGTGAGCAAAAAGCTTTTCTACTGAAAACCATCTTTGATTTCACAATCAAAGCAATAATTCCAATACTGTAATTTGAAAACGTTTTCTTCCCAACACCTACAATATTATACGATAAAAATACCTAAGCACCAACAAGGAATAAGAAACATTGACATTTGGATTTAATTTAAGCAATTTACCAAAAAAAAATAATAATAATAAATTCCCACATACAATAGGGTTTTTGTAGAATGAAACAATTAGTCACTTTTATTGCTAGTGCATATAGTGTAATGTCACATTTCATACAATTTCAGTACAAGTGAAAAAATATATGGCTGCTTGAAACTGATAGGCTAAATTAACATTCATAGATCTATATATATTTATTTTACAAACTGTTAGTAGTTTATAGATATATCAATTTTAAACTACCAACATTCATATGGCTCCATTTCAAATGTATGAATTATTTGATGAACTATAAATATATTCTGAAATATGTTTAACTGAAGACGTCAACGCTGTTCACTAAAATATATCAAACACATGCCCCATGAAAATTTTATAGATAGCCCTGATTGTCTTTGGAGCATAGAAGTGTCATTGGTGCAAGCCATGATTGTAGGATTAGAGGACATACATATACACTTGATCTCTTCTTATTTAACAGAATTTGGACCAATTTCTCATCTATAGCCTGGTATAAATCTACTGAATTCTGTGGAGTTACTTCTGGATTAAAACAGAGTAGTTAAGATCAGAATCTGACCTGGGGTCAGATTCAGGGCCATCCAACTTCAAAGGAGATGACCTCAAACTTTACTTGTGTAAATTAAAGAAGAATGGGAACCAGCTGGATTGTGCACTTACTTAAGACAAGTAAGATGAAAGCCAATGACCAAATTCTGCAGATTCAACAAGACTCCTAAGCCTGTTCCTTGTTTCACATGTGCAAGTAGCCCCACTGACTTTGGCTGAGCTATCCATCTGCCTATACAAGCCTTAACTGGGACTCTTAATACAGTCAAAATTCTGTTGGATTCAATAAAAAACAGCAATTTGTAAAGGGGACCACATGCTGCTCTTAGTAACACCAACATCTTAATCCAGAAGCTTTCCGGTGTAATCAACTGAGATTCATACCAGAGGGATGAGATTCCAGCCCAATGAAAACAGAATAGAGTGCTGGCAGCAGAGGAAGGCACAGAGCATCAGATGAGATGGGAAAAGCTGGCCCAGTTGGAATTGCTATCAATTTGCTTTCTGTGTTTCTTTCTATCCTTTCTCTCTCACCACCCCATGGCACTGAAGGACCCTATCTGTCTCTCCCTGGTGGAATCTGCCCCCATTTCCAACCAGGAAAGACTTCTATCTCTGGCTCATGAAGACAACTTGGAATGCACCAACCAACCTGCATCACATTATTCCCCTCCTGGGGGTTATACTTCTGCCTCCCCCCATCCTTACTCAAGGGCTTTTTCCCCCTCTGCAAATGACTGGATTGCAGCCCTCCTTTAGCAGACACTGGGACAAAATCTGGCATGGTTACTGAGGGACAAAAAGTTATTAAGCTAGGTTATGGTGGATTCTGCAAGCATAAATGGCCTTGCTGCTCTAACTGCTGCTGCTGGATTTTCATGGGGTTGGGCCCTCTCCAAGCAAGGAGCTCTTTTCCCCATTCCCTGGATCCATCCCCAATCTGAGAAAGGTTGAAAACCCCTTTGGCACAAAAATGACTGATAGTCTCAGCTCTGGGCTCACTAACCACAACAGTCAATTCAATTTACTCAGAAAGGGAGTTACATTTGACTACTGTGAGGGGAAAAAAGGCCTATAATTTGCCAGATACATTTGAATTTCCTCTGGCAGGGTGGGAGAAGGTTTATTCATAGCAATGTACCTTGTCTTGGCAGATATAAAATAGGACTTTGAAATGACCAGAAGAGGGATGCTTTTGCCTACTAACCCCCATGCGCACTCAGCTGCCTGTGCAGACAGACTCACACTGTAAAGTGGACAAGGAGCTCCAATGATACTAAAATAAGAGAGATGTTGAAGTAATGATGGATCACGTTGGGCATGCAGAGAGGGGTCATAAAGGCAACAATTTCCTTGGGAGAACTGTTCTTTTAAAAGGATGATTTAGGGAAGTCCAAATCAGACTCATTAGACATCTCTTGCCCTTATACTGGCAAATCTCTCTTAGTAGAAAATACAGAAAATGCTACAAAACACTGTTATAATACATACTAGGAAAACTCTAAACCCATCTTGACAGCAATGCCTGATTCCACTGAATACTTTGTCCACATAGTTAAAACCAGCCCTTAAAGTTCTACCCTTTAATAACATGGGATGTGTTAGCTAAGTCCTTTTTTTTCATCTTACTTGTTTAAAGCTTTCTCCAGATATTCCTGAATCCACTTTAACTTGGGATCAACGCACACTTGCTTGCCAGTGTTCTTCAGCCTTGCACTGCCAAAGGAAGAGAAGAGTTGCAGTATGAGTGCAAGGGATAACATTCTATAGCAGGGGGGTACTTGAGAAGTGGCTAGGGGGTACACGCAGGCAGGCAGGGATGGAGCGCTGCCACCTACCACCCCGCGACCAGATGCGGGGAGGGCGGGGAGCTTGCATGCCGCACCCACCACCCCGTGCTGCAGCTGCTCTGCAACTGGCTGCACGTCACTCCCCTCCTTCCTGCCGCCCGTGTCCAGCCACTGGGGGTACACTGACTAAAAAAGGTTGAAAGCCCCTGTTCTACAGAATGCCTCTTGAACCAAATTCTGCTGTGAATGTTGTTAATGTCTAGCAGGATTTAGCTCCTCATCTGACTTTGGTTCATTGACTTTTACTGTGCTGTATGAATGAACACGTAAATTCTACATTTTATAACTAGCATCTGAGTTGCTATCAGTTATGGGCATGTGGGAACTGTATTTTACTTTAAAATAAATGAAAAACACATGCAGTTTAAGCAAGAGATATGGTAGGTAACAAACATCACTGGGTGCATTTACACGAGACGCTTTGAATGCAGTAGAGTAATTCTACTGCGCATTAGTACAGCAGGCAAAAATCCATGCTAATGCACAGTAGATTTAGTCTGCTGAACATTAACATCACAAACAGACTATTCATTTGTACTAATGTGCAGCAACATCAATTAAACTTAATGCACTGTAATTACAGCGCATTCACGAATGTGTCGCTGAGCCCAGTGAACCTTGACTCTTGCTCAAGCTGGACTTTCATACAATTTTACAACAAAAGCAGAACCAGACCTTCTGGAGGTTCTGGTCATGAATTTCAGGATCCAAGACAGAGAATGATCTAGTAGTACTGCCACATCAGAAAGCAACTTTTTTCGTATTTTTTTTAGTCAGCACTTGAAATGGGATTACCAGAAATCTCTTGAGAAAGATTGTCCTTATGAAATTTCTGACCTGGATTTGCAGATTCAGGTGGTTTTTAGACTTTAAATACAGATGAGGACCCATGTTTCTGCACACTTATCTGACCAAACTCTTATCTCCCAGCCTTTAAAAACCAAGCAGTATTACCTAGCCATCTCAGCTTGACCCTGAGGTTAAATGGGATGTGTCAGGTAGAAACAAGATATACAGTACCTCATGCATTTCATCTAAAGTTCAGTGTACCGTGGCTCTAATCCTTTAGGTACTGAGTACTTCTTACGAGTGCTAAGGAGCTTCACCTCCAGCCAAATACAATGGCAACTGGCATGAGCTGCTCTGCAGTGCCACAGCAGCAACAGTATTGATGTCAATGGCACCATTCATGTCTATGTTAAACATGTGCTTAACTACTTTGTTGGATTGAGGCACAAATGCTCAGCATCTTGTAAAATCAAGTCCTTCTTGCATAAGTCAATTAAGTAAATGAAAGAAGTAAGAGACCTAAAATGCTGCTAATTCTGAAGTCTACTCGTGTCCTTGTCATAAATGTGAACAACTAAGGAATTGATCCCGCAGTCTTTACATAAATAATGTTCCAAGAAGATCTAATCCTGATGTGTTTCACAGCAATGTAAATCTAGAATACCTCCACTGAACTCAGTGAAGTGATACTAGTGTTAAGTGAGGGCAAATCAAGCCCACTGTTCTTATATGGGAACAGAGCACAGAGATGGTAACAAACTTAAAGCACTTACAAACATTCTCTCTGTATAGATTAGGGCCAACTGGCTTTAATGGGAATCTTTCTTCAAAACTTAAGGACTGGCCCATAAACTCCTAATATGGGATTCTAATGAGATTCTTCCATCCAAAAACTGATGGATTCTAAAGTAAGTAATCTGAATATTTATACAAATCAAACATGCTTGTAACATGCGCTCACTGAATTCAATGCCCCAATAAATTCTGCTAAAATGGAACTTTCTATGTTAGAATTTATTTTTAAAGGTTTTTAAGAAGTGTCATATCCTGTGTGCAGATGTACCCTGGGTTCTAGCACATTTCAAGTTCAGGCTCTCCTTTAGAAACATCTCTTAAGTAATAAAACATGAAAAAACAATGGATTATCTGTTCTGTATATACTAACAAACTGTAAACAATGGCCAGGCTGAAATGCAGGTTGTTTCCATTTCAATATTTCACAGTCATATTCCCCTCTAATTACTGCACTCCCACGTTAATCAAGAGAAAAAATGTATATGGCATCAAATCTAAAATACCTTTTTCTTGAAACTACTACAGATAAATCCAGATCCCCACAAAGTTATTACAATGAGACTCTTGTAAGGAGTAATAGGTAGCTCCAGAAGTACATAAATTCATGTATGCATGCTATTTTTTCCAAAGGAAATTAGAGGACTTGCCTACTTGTACATCTTACCTAGTCAAACACACTTGTTTTTCCTACTTTCACAAAAAGCAAATTATTCCCTAGCTTGGACGAATTTTTTCCCCACTGTACTGCACAACAATTAAATGTGAGGCATCTGCAGGAAAATATGCAAGATTTATCTACACTGGATTCTTTTAAGTAAGTACATACATACTGTATATTTTTCAACTGAAAAAGCAATTGTGTTCACAAAACAAAATGTGTCCTTGACTAAACATTTGCATTTTTGAGGATGTTCACTAAAGCACAAGGTGTTTTGCATGCAAAAATATGCCAAGCAACAGGGGATAGGCATGGGGGTGGAAGGTATTGTTTGTTTGTTTTTTGAGCTGTTACAATTTAAAGGGCCCCACACAGCTCTGGATCAGTGAAGGTCCCCGTAGAAGAAGCTGTGTGGAAATGACTCAGAAGTTGTTGAGATTCTCTCTCTCATGCAGAGGGCAGCAGGAGCTAATAGTACTTAGGTCTGGTTGCAAAATTATTTCCTTGCTGTAAAATGTCAGTAAAAATAAATTTAACTAATTTTCCTCTAAATCTGCCTTTCAAATTTTGAGGATTTCATTCAGAAAAACAATGTATATTTGATTTTCTTCACATTCCTCCTAAATGTCAAGGAAATTAACACTTTAAAGAAAACAAATTAATTAATCAGAAATTATTTTCCAATGAGAAAATTTGTCTGGGAATTTCTGACTAGCTCACCTTGTAAATACAAACATAGATGGCAGCCATACACATCTGATATTGTACCCGACACAGAGATAACCTAGAACACCTTAGCTTCCTATATTAACTTCATGAGTAGACAGAGATAGTTAGCCATGTTTGTCTTAAGTCAGGCAAAAGTCTTGGCAGGGTTACACCTTTAGAAATCAAAGAGACTTTGACAAAGTAGGCTGTCGCCTACAGAAGCTTACGTCTCTCTGAAGTAGTTAGTCTCTAAGGGTGCATTCAGATGAGCGTACACATGTGGTTTGTGGCACAGCAGACCCATCTGCAGCACCACAAACTGCACATCACACATGCAGGTGTTCACCGTGCTGCTAATTAAGTCTGGTGTAAAAAAAACCCACACCAGAAGAAACCAGGGCAGCGCACATGGCAACAGCATGCACTGCCCAAAACTGGACTCTGGCCAGCCAGAGCCAAGCTCTGGTTCCCAGCCAGGCTCCACATGTCTGGATCACCACTGCTGGAGCCCCAGGAGGCCCCCAGGGTTCCAGGTAAGGCTGCTAGGGCCAACCCAGGTGGGGCCAGCCCAGGGGCGTTCCCCGGGGACAACTAGCACCACTGCTGCTAGTTGTCCCCTGGGAATGCATGTTCCCACTGGTGGGGATGCACCCTAAGATGCTACCATGCCCTGTCTTCTGCCATATTCACCCCATTTACCATTTAAAGTTAAGCAATGCGTTTAAAAATGTTCTGAGACTTACACAATCTGAAGCGAACAGTTGGGTGTGCTCAGGATTTTGAGGTGCTTAATGTTGGCTCTGGCCACGTTGCTCTCGTAGAATCGACAGGGACATCGGTAAGTCAGGCTGACAGGTTTCTCTGTGGGATACAGTCAGAGAGAAGATACACATTACCTGTATTATCTGCTGCAGAGTATTGCCATGCAGCATGAGGACTCCTCTTGGGTCTCTCCAAAGTATAAAAAAACCTCATGTAAGTAAAGACATAAAGAAAAGAAAGTAAAGAAAGACATAGAAAAGCTCTGTTTGTCAACAGCTCCCTATAACAGCTCTTTCTCCTGTTCCCATGGCATCCTTTAAATCCCACTGCTTGTGATTTTAGAAGACAAAGACAAGTGTGAGAAATTGTAGGCTGAGAAATGGAGAAGAGATTAGAATAAGTCTCTCCATTGTCCAGAAAGCTTTCTAGTAATTAGACAAGATAACAGCTAGAAGAGTGGAGCACTTGTCCTCCGTGTTATTCTTGCCAAATTATTCTGACCTGAGGCCAAATGAGGAGAGAAAAGAAAGCCATGAATTCCAAGGAGGCCAAAACAAAACAAACAGCCCTGCTCAGGTGCAAGCTCTTCCCTGCTGCAGTGTCTTAAGGAGCTTTCCCAGGGTCCAGTGATTAGACCTTTACTTGCTTTAGTGAGCACTTACTCTCAGAGGGATGGGGCACATGAGAAGGTGCCTCCCAGTGGCAGTCAGAGCTGCAGGATCTCAGCACTTCTAATGAGCAGATCTGGAACCCTTTAGACTATCAGCATCTGAGATAACAATAGTACTTTATAACACTCTGGAGTCAGTCAGTGAATTCTCCACAGAAACTTCTGGAGCGTCCCATTTTGGAACTATCATAATCAATGGCAAGCCTGCCGCCCACTTCAGTAAGAGCAGACGACAACCTCAGAGCCTCTAAGTAATGCACGTGCAGAGCTGAGGGGAGCAGCTTACTTTTATTCCAGCATCTGACCCTGGACTCCTTCCTCAGGGCTGGACTTTCATGACTGTTTGGAAGGACTGTCTTACCAGGACTCCTGCATGTGTACAGCTGAAAATCCAACCCTGTCTAGAAACTTCAAAGTCCTGTATTTACTGTGAGAGCCAGAAAAAGAGGCCCTTTAACTTGCCAGGAGTTGCCTTGAGACTCACAAATTTCCAACTGTTTCCTGTTGGGCAGTTTTTCAGTCTCTAATTGTGAAGTCTTGGAGGGCAGCTTGTTTATAAAGATGGACCCAAGCCATGGAGTTTGGATTAAGAAATGAGGTCAGATCCAAATTCGCTCAAACTCTACGGTAGTTTTGGACCCAGTTTAGCTACACAGCAGAGCTCACAATATCCAAACAGAGCTGCCCTCAAAGGCAGATGCACTCTCGAGAGCAGAACAGGGCTGTGTGGCTCTTAAAACTGCTGAGAAGTTCAGAAAAGATTCACCTTTTATAACTGCACCTGATGTTCACATACAAAAACCCTGGGCGCCAACAGATGCTTATCTGTAGCTACTATCAAACACACCCTGGGGCTTAGTGGTAAGCAACAAACCTTTTTCCAAGAAGGAAACTGCAGGAAAATGCTTGTCACAAACACCTTTTATAGCAAATTATGAAACATATTCTGATCTCAAATGCAGGGGTGAAAATGCAGAGAAACAGTATTAACTTCAGTAGAATTGAACAAGTTTTAGATAGGTGATGAAATCTAGACTGATGTATAAAGGATGTGGAGGATTCCTTTGGTTAGCATTTTTATCCCAAAGGGAACCTGAATGTTGTTACAGACTAAAACTTAATAACTCATTATATAAATATACAAGTATAGAAGAAAGAGAGAGACACTATACAAGGATATCACTTTAGAGAGCAAATATAGTTAAATAAGTTTTATCCTAAACAACACACAATTGGTGTAGTCTTAAACCCACTTATTTTTGCACTTTGTATCTAAATTCAGTTGGCACGATTAATACTCAGCTAATAGAGATGATCTAAAGATGAAATCTTGCTCCTTTTGTAGCCAGTGGGAGTTTTACCATTAACCTCAATAGTTCCATAAATTCCCACTCCATTCCAAATTCTTCCCTTTTCCAAGAGTATATATATAATACATAGCAAGAGAGACAATTTTGCACCTTCCAACAGTGGGTGTTCCCTCCTAAACAAGGAGGGAAATACAAGTCCCAGAAACCACCTACATTTCTGAGTGAAAAACACAAGGGGTTACACAGCATTTGCATCTGGTCAGCCCAAGTCAGGGGACCTCTCTCCTGTAGCTGCCCAACTAGTGCTCTGGCATACTTAGCCAGCACATGCATCCTTTTCAGTTCTGACTGCCACCCACCAGGCTGCCTTCAATGACACAAAAGGTATACTTTAACTTCTGTAAAACTTGAGTGGAGACAAGGCACTAGTTCTACTGAGGGTTGGGTGGGGGAAGCAGCCCTTGGGGCAAGAGACATAATGCTGCACTTATGCAGATATTAGCTATCCTGCTATAAAGCTAAAAAGACACATGCACTTTTAACTCAAATATGTCAAAGATCCACCTGAGCCAACTGGGCACATCAGGTCAGCACAATTAAGGCACACCAGTTTCTATAACCAGTAGCACACAAGGCACTGATGCAGCCAGCATCACACCCAGCTGCCTTTGACTCCCAGGACTGAATGACAAATTAGGCATTTACTGCTGGGGGGGGGGGGGGGGGAAATGCACGTTTGCCCCCACTAACAGGCTCAACCT